GCGAGCGAAGGCAAACCTACGGCCTCAAAAACGTGCAGGTGCCACGAATAAGGGTGGAGCACTAAATAAGGAGAGGGGGGAATTTGCCCAAAGCCGGGCAGCCACCCCTCAGAAGAAGCCGGAGCGCCGCCGGCACGGGCCGACATGCTGGGCTGGGTGCCACGGGGCATCACGGCAGCTCGGGACCTGCTGGAGACACCGCAGCAGGGCACGTGCTGCTGCGTGGGGCCAAAAAGCGTTGAAATTCTGCCACGGGCACAGAAAAAGGAACCACAGAAATGAGTCGAGGAATTGGAAAATATGCTTTAGAGGGAGATTTTTAACAGCTTTATATAGTTTGTTGCAGAGGAGGCAGAGCAGCATTACAGGATAAAAATACAAGCCAAAAATGAAATGAAGCCCCCAACCCCACTAAATTAAAGGGTTTTTTGTTCTGGGGTGAGAGGCCGAACCAGCGTCCGGAGCAACCCCCCGACACGTCTCTAGCAGGTGCCAGGCTGCTGGGTGAGTGTGGGATTTTTCATCTTGTGGCACTTCCAGATCCGGCCTGGATGGCTTTGGGGAAGACCGTCTTCGGTCATCGCAGGGCAGGCGTCTCGGTGTGGTGGCAGGCTGACAAAAATCTATGGCTGGCTTTGCACAGCAGGTCATGTCAGACAGCGTAACAGCTTTTGGGGGCTGAACTCGGCGAAACCCCGTGCGCGGACACACACGCAGGCGCACAGGGACCTTGCTCACGCAGCCCTCAGGCAGCACGAGCAGCAGGCAATCAGCACCTGCAGGCCTGGAGTAATTCATGCAGATATGCCCTTTATCCTGTAATACACGATTCACCCGCACCATCAGTACCAACCGACCCCAGAACCAGGAGTTTGGTTCTCAAAATCACGAGACTGAACAGTCACAACTCCCGCAGCTGCCTTTGCAAGATGCTGGGTCACACTCAGAATATTGTTTCCAGCCTTTTTCTACATATGAAGAAGCTAGAATTTGCTCACCTATAAAAGCTGAAATTCCAAGTCCTAGAAAACAAGGTTTGCACAGGTTGCAAAATATTGGGGTGTTTTAGTGTGAAGAAGGGGAGACCGGGGGGGCTGTGAGACCAAAGACTGCTGCAGGGAAGGGAAAGCAGCGGCTGCCCCGGCCATCGGAAGTGGAGACAAGTTGGAAATCCCAGGGTCCCAGCCCCGATGGCCCAGTGCAGCTGTGGGGTGGAGGGGAGCAGGAGGGACCAGGGGTGCCAGGAGATGTCACCCCCCGGTCTGCCTGTTACCGCCAGGAGGTGGGGACCTCTGTCCCTGTCCCGGTGATGGTGCCCTGCTGCTACCTCAGTTGCCCAGCCACCTCGGAGCCAAGGCAGAGGTAGTTAAAAATACAAAAATGTCAATTTAAATGAAAACATGCTTCATAAAGAGAGAGAGATAAGAGGCTCCCAGCAGCCCGGTGAGCGGGGGGATTTATGGGGTAATGAAGCA